AAATATATATTATTGGACAAAGTTTTTTATTTGGCTAATTATTTTGGGATGGAGGTAATATCAGTTATTTCATTGTAAGGGGTTGGTAACTTTGTATTCTCAAGCATTAGACTTCTCTCTAGTTTTCTCTGTAGCATTCAGCTTAGTCTAGAGGGTCAGAGCGTCTCTCGGCAGAAGTGTTGTAATCGTTCTGTAGACTTCAATAGAATTGGATTCGCTTTGCCTCTAATTATTTGCTTATTCTTGCTATTTTCTTTCCCTTAAACACTCAACAAAACAATACACAACTAAAAGCACTCATACGAAAGGCAAAGAACTGTGTTGGGCCTTGGGACATCTAGGATTTAACTTCAAGAGCTGGTAAAATAAGAACTACTCTCCTTTGGCCTTCATAGTTCTTTGCTGGACTTGTGTATATATCTTGTTACTTAATAAGTTAGTCGCAAATGAGTTGTTTTTTGTTTGGGAAGTAGTCGTGTGGTTCGAATCAGATTTTTTTATTTTACTTCAGGGGGTTCTGGGGGAGGGGGCCTGGGGGCTTGGGGGTCTGGAGCAATGAGGGCTTAAACTCACTCTATTGAGTTTCAAACTCTTATGTGTCTAGCGGGTTTCGAACTTCAGACTAGGGATAGACTCGGGCCGGGTGGCCCGACCCGGAACCGGCCCGGGACCGGTACTGTTCCGGCCCGGCCCGACCCGGTGGCCCGGTCAGTGACCGGTCCGGGTAGGCCCGGCCCGTGGGTTTTCCGGTCCGGGCTCGGGTCAACCAAAACAAGGCCCGACCCGGCCGGGCCCGGGCCTGGTTCGGGCCAAAAACTATTTTTTTTTCAATTTTTTTTAAATTATCGGGTTGGGCTGGGTATTTTGGGCCATTTGGGGTGGTTTGGGGGTTGGGGGTGGGAGGGGGGCTAATTAGGAAGAGGAAAACAAAAAAAATATAATGGGCCTGGCCCGGACCCGGCCCGGACCCGGTGGTTACTCGGGCCGGTCCCGGGTCCACCATTTCTGACTTGCCAGCCCGCCCGGGCCTAGGCCCGACCTGGACCCGAGTCCATCCCTACTTAAGACCTCCCACTAGGCACGATAACCTCACAATAGTCATGTGGGTTGGTTGGCCTATTCCATGATATATAAGATATACGTAGTATAAGATATATAAGATATACCCCGTATTATGCAAGACAAATTATTCCCATCAAATTTCAGTTTAAAATACAATTTGAATGGTACTTAAATAAATTATTGAAAAATACTATATGGTTATATATATATATATATATATATATATATATATATATATATATATATATATATATATATATATATATATATATATATATATATATATTGGCGTAGTGTTTTTCAATAATTTATTAAACTGACTACTCAATTGAATTTTAATTTGAAGTATGATAAACATAATTTACACATCATGAAAAACAAACTTACAAAATTTCATCCAAAGAGTCCACCCAAAAGAACCTCAAAGGTAGGTGGTCGGACGTCGTTCCTAACTGGAAGACTACTCTATTATAAGAACTTCAGATCCCGTGAGTTAGAATTTATTTGAACCCAAACTGAACCGATCAAATATTATAGAAATTGAATTGAAAAGTAGAAGCCCAAAATTATAGGAATCAGAAAGAACCGGATATATCGGTTTGGATCAATTTTCCCTGTTTTACGATTATGAATCAATGGCCTAACTTTTTAAACTCTGTATAAAACTTGGAATATTTATATTACATACTCCATTATGTAAGTTTGGAGAATTTGAATTATTTTTCTCGCTAAAAATTCAAGATTCTGGTCTGACCACACCCAAACACAAGCTAAAGTTACAGCCAAAATTTATGCTCCCACATCGCTCAAATTTTTGTCAAGTTTTACCTGCATGGAAAATAATAAAGTGCCAATTATTTTATTGAAATATGTGCAGAGCAAATAGAAATAGAAATAGAAATAATATGAATCACATATCCACTAATTAAAAATGAAAATGTCAAAGTTTTTAGGGCATCCAAAAAAAAATAAGTAAAATTATAAGGGACAGAATAATTATAAGTTGGCCTTTTTATGAATATTACTAGATTAAATGTGAAAGACAAAATATATGACTTCTTAAAATATTTCAAGACTGTGTGACTTACCATATTATTTATGCTTTCTATTTGGTATTACATTTAGGGAAATTGTTCAAAATAGGACTAAAACGTTTGTAAATTCCACAATAAGACTATCATGTTTTTATTCTCAAAATAAGACTAATTATTGTCATGTTTTGGCAGGATCACACTTTAAACATGACAGTATTTTCTAAATATGGTAGTATTTTGTAAATTACCTTTATTTCGAGAATTTTCCCTTACATTTATTACTATAGCATTCCTTTTTTAATTATTATTAATAAATTAATAATTAGTTACTGTTGTCCAGTCAACTAAACAACCACCACCGTTGTCGTCACAAACATCAACACCGTCATTAGTCACTGGACCGCATTAGTGATTAGTTTCTATGCAGTTGCACCGCTCAGTGACTGTCATCCTGTGGCTAGTGACCAGACAAAATCAGTGACACCAGTCTCCATCGCTCTCCATCATGTGACCTTAGTGACTAGACACTTAATCAAATACCTTAGTCACTGAATCGCAATTCCTCGGGCCACCACAACAAGGATGAGCAGGTGGATCTTTTCGGAGTTCACAACAGAAGAACCCAACGACTGTTGCTGCTTGTATAGCGAAAATGGTAGCTATGAACATAAATTGACATGGGAGATTCATTTGGAGAGGCATTAGGAAATAATGGTCGTGGGAAAATAGGGGTTAAAATTAGATTGGTAGCGACTACATTTCAAGAAAAAAGGAGAAAATTGTTATGGAGACAGACAAATTGAAGAAGGTGTGCAGACGTGGTGTAGTAGGCATGGCAATGGGTCGGGGCGGGTACAAGACCCAGATCCGCCCCGTGACTTGGCGGGGCGGGTCCGCCCTGTCCCGTGACCTACACGGGTCCAAACGTTTTGACCCATGGCCCGTCCCGCCTTAACCTAATTAGCTACTATGTATTTTTATTTGTGCCAAGTTGTTACCAATTGAATCTACATAAAGTTTATCTCTAAATAATAATTATAAATTAATATATTAAATCAAATTCATGATACCCTAAAAATTTCAAAAATTAAGGAAAAAGTACTCATACTTGAATAGTTAATCTATTAAATTATACTAATAATTGAACATATGTATTAAAATGCTATATATAAAGAAGACATTGATAATCCGTCGTTCATCACATTCTAATATATGTATTAATATATTATAAGATCAAAGAATTTATGATTTACTGTATACACACATATGTATGTTGAAGTATATTTGTAGTATAATTTAAGAAAAAATATGTATGTTTATGTATTGAGCGGGTCGGATCGGGGCGGGTCAGGTCGACACGGGTCAATACTAATACCCGAACCCGCCCCATTGTATAGGCGGGGCAGGGCGGACTCACCCCATTTGGAAGACGGGCTGGGCTGGACCCACCCCAAATGTCTCGGGCCAAGGCGGGTCACTGCGGGTCGGGTTTTTTTGACATCCCTACGGTGTAGGGCTAGAATGGTTAGGGTTAATTAATACTCCGTACAATTTAATTCTAAATGAGTCATTTTTTTGTGAAAATTAATCAATGATCATATTTTTGTCTATGGCAACTCTAAGAATAATATTTATGCCATTATTTCATATAAGTATGCTAGACTATTGCAATTGTTTAATTCCTACCATTCAATTATAATAATACTCACTCTCTTTTAATTGCAACACCTCTCTTTCAATTTACTAACTCAAACTTTGATCATTAATATATTTAATTCTCTATCACTAAAAAAATTAGATTTTGAAAATTAACTTGAGAAAAAATTAATAAAAACATAATACTTCTTGTAACAAAATATTCTTTAAATATTTTCAATGTACTATCGTATGTTTTTTTATTATTAATTCATACATCCTTGTAATAAATATTCCAATTTTATTACTGGAAATACTTTTTAGGCTAAAAGGTCAAATAGGTACATGAATTAACTTAAAATGTTCAATTAGCCCCTTATATAAGAGGTTCTGCCCGGTCGTCGCCAATTGGGGAGTTCCCAGTGGATTTTTTTTATGAAAGTTTTTGAGCATCTTCTTCATCAAGTCTAGTTTACTCATACCAAATTTCAACTAAAAATTCAAACGGGAAGGCAATGAAATGATTTTTTGAAGATAACTGCGCAATTAAACAGCGCAGTACATTTCAGAAAATCATTTGACTGCCTTCCCGATTTAATTTTTAACTGAAATTTGATATGGATAAATTAAACTTAATGAAGAAGATGCTCAAAAAAATTCATTAAAATTTTTACCGGGAACCACACCAATTGGTGACGGTCAGGCATAACCTCCTATATAAGAGGTAATTTGAACACTTTAAGTTAGTTCATGTACTTATTTCACCCTTTAGCTTACTTTTTAATTAATAAAAGATTATTAAACACAAAGCTCTAACCTGCCCCACAAAGAGTAGATCCAGAACCGGACATGTCCAACCCGAGTTTAGCCTAGGCATGGACCCAACCGAGCCGAACCAAATAGCCGATTCCGGGCTTTAGCCGGGTTGGATGGGCCTGGCAGGCCAGTTCTAGGCCCACATTTATATGAACCGGACCGACCGATTCGGGCTGGTTCCAGGCCTTTTTTTTTGTTTTTTCAATTTTTTTCCTTTTCCTTGGTTAGGGCTGGGGGTTTTGGGGAGGTTTGGGGGTGGGGGTGAGCACGGGTCAGGGGATAACAAGAAAGCCAAAAAAATATACATTGAACCGGCTCAACCCGGACCCGGTATCAACCCGCACCGGTTCCGGGCCCAAGTATCTGGAAAAAAAGCCCGCCCGGAACCGGAACGGCCCGGGTCCATCCCTAGTTTAGCCTAACCTTAACCAAAATAGACCACAGACAAACATAAAATAAAACAACCACAATAATTCAAGGAGGCATATAAGAACAACAATTGAACAAATATATTTAAACCCGCTTTTCAACAAAAGAATTAAATCAGTAAACGCACACTTTTTACTCCAACGTTCGTAAGGTGTTGTTGTATTCTCAGTTTTGGCCATACACCACCATTTTCAAGCCATAGAGAAAAACTTCATTCATATCATGCTAACTATTGAAGGCATGGCATGACCATGCGGGCACACACTGCAGGCCCAGCCAAAATGATATAACATGGTTTCGAATTTGTTAGATTCTTGTAATCCAGAAATGATGGATGTGGGAAACTTCGAGTGGGTCCACCGCCGCCCTGCCGTCCGAAAGGTAAGGGATTATTAAGAGATTTGTGTTTATTCCATTCATAGATCATCCCCAATAGCTGCTCTTATGATGCAATCTGACATCAGCATTCACAAACTTCGTTAGAAGCATATGCATGAATTGGCCTTCATCAATCTATGCAAATGAATGGAATTCGGTTGTGCATTTACTATGCAACTCATATATTGCATAGCAACAACTGAACAACTATTTTTCAAGGAAAAAAAAACTATTAACTTTATCCTCTACGAAGTGCACTCAATTCCATATCTAGTGGTGTTTGGATCAACCGTTTGTGCTTCTTCAAGGAGGGGAACCAGATATTAAAGTGTTTCGATGAAACTCATAAGTACTTATGGGTGCTCAAAATTGCTCCTAAAATACGTTTTTTAAGAAGCTGAGGGAGACCAGCTTTTCAAAAACTGAATCTCATTCTGCTTTAAAAAAAACAGAAACAGAAGCGATTCAAAACACCAATTCCATTTGCAGATGTCCACAATTTTCTACAACATTCAGATCTACTATTAAAGAAATTCATCATTAAATACATCTAATATCTTTTTTTCTTTTAAATAATCAGTAATTTCAATGAAAATGTTGCCAATCTGACCATAGTTTTGTCGTCTTAAATTGAAAAATCACAAATCAGGATCTGACGGTAACCTCATATGCGTTGACCAACCTAAATAGACACCCAGAGAAATGCCAATCATGGAAATACTTCCAACCATACTGCAATGCCAAATTATGCTCGTGATGATGATAAATTACAAAAATAACAAATTAAATGGGTGAAGTGCCAACCAACAAGCTAAGCACCAATGGATAATTATAAAAAACTCACTGGTACACCAGAGCTACCAAAAATACTCTAATTATGTAAATGAAAACTTGCTTCTTCAACAAGAGTAGAATGCAAAAAAACAAAGGAGGTTGAAAACAAACAGCACAACACCAACGAACCAAGCCACCAACTAAACTACCAAATCCATATGGACAATACAACTAAACAATTTGTGTGTTTACAATATGAGAAATATGTTGTAAAATTCCAAAATGCCTAAAATCCTAATTGACTAATTCCTCAATGTCTAAATCCATAGTCCAACAAGGCAACAATCAGGTTTCTTATACATAAAATCAAAAATATGGAACAAACACTGATGTATCATACTTCAAGTACGAAAAGGAACGTACTAATGTGTATAAGAGACATCACTCAGAGGAGGAGTAATCACCATAGTTGTTACGGCAGGGTTTTGCGACGCTGCGCCTCTGGACTGCCATACCGCTGTGGCGATATGGCAGGCTTTGCGGCGGCATCGCGGCGATAAGTCGACATAGGTACACTAATATATTCATGGTATATTTTACATACTAAAATGCCTACATGTAATACTTATAGCCAACACTATCAATGTTTTACATGTAATACTTATAGCCAAAATTATCAAATACGTAGTATAACATATAAAAAAACAACTGAAATTTCAACTATTATATGGGGAAAATTGGAATTTGTTTTCAGAAAATTGAAACAATAGAAACATTTCTTAAAATAGAAACAATACAAACTTTTCAATGTGTTTCTGTACAACACTAGTTACACTACAACATTACACCGTTCAACACTAAAACATTAAAATATTAAATAGAAAGATTTTAAAGCAATTAATTAATACAACCTACTGGAGCAACGAAATAAAGAAATACAGAGTACAAAACATTAAAATATTAAACGGAAAGATTTTAAAGCAATTATTTAATACAAATTAATTATTACACCCTACTGGAGCAACAAAATAAAGAAATACAAAACATTAAAATATTAAATAGAAATAATATAAAGCAATTAATTAATACTGTAGCAACAAAAAAAGAAATACAAAAAGTAGACACTACAGGATAATTCTGGAGCCACAAAAACAAGTAAAGTCTAAAGTCAACCTATGGGTGATGACTATCCTAAAATTGAAACAAGTAAATACGGAGTACTAATTACTGAAGCTAAGTAAATAAAATACCGATGCATATAAAACAAATACTCTATCCCAAAAATAGCTACGACCCACAGGATACCTGGCGGAACTGCTAAAGAAGATGTTCGAGCCTGGACGACGAAGACCAACGGCACAGCTGACAAGTATGCGTTTGGGATTGCGAGACTTTGGAGTCGCCCGATTTATAGGTTGACTGTTTTTTTATGGGTTATCGCTAATCACTTATCAAATTAATGGGTTTGGGTTTGGGCCTATTCATAATTTTTGGGTCAGTGGGTCACACCTTGCATCGTTGTCTGGCGTCAATGGTGTATTTGCGACGTTGTGGCAACGATGCAGCAATGCCTTTTGACTTGTGGCGTGTCGAGCTTCCATGGCAACCTGCCCAGAGCGCCACGACGCCAAGGCGACGATGCAGCGACGCCATAACAACTATGGTAATCACGAACCTTCTAGTGACCTGAAAAATATGCAAGGGGACTAAGTAAACCCTACACAAATAGTAGGTATATCTAGTTCTAATCAAACAACTGGTGAAGTCCCAAAAATTACTGACAGGACAGAGTAATCCTTGCATATACAGGACTGAGTTGGGTGTTATGGGTGCAGGCTGAATGTCAAAATAATCAACAAAACATCCTAACAACCCTCAATGAGTCAATGGTTAAACTGTCTCATAGATAAAGTTAATTTTTTCACTTCGACGGAAATGATTGTTAAAAAACCTTGTTCAATGCCCCTTAAGGCCTTGAGCAATTACTTTCCAACTCCTTATGTACATCATGAACTTGGACCAGCTAGCATGTAGCATGTGCACCCACAGAGGGGCTTGAAAATCACATACTTGATTTTGAGAATTTCAAAGTTACATTCCATTAGCATAAAAAACAAATTCTCTTCACCAATCTGGTGTAGGATACTGAGATCTACTCTGATGCATGATAGGCTCGGGCTAGCTCAAATACAAAGACCATCACCACACAAGTATGTGACCTCATCCCGAAACTACTCACCACATAGAAATATGCATGCTCCCTGTGAAGCAGAGAAGCACCAAAATCCAGCATCAGTTGCTCTAATATATGGACATGCCTGATATGGTATGAACCGATCTATCCAGAGTAAAAGCTTAACATCCAAAAGAGGAGTAGCTCGACTGCAAGCAGTACCTTACACTGCCAAGTTAATACCATTGTCATTTGAGACAAATGGTGCAACATAACTTTTTAAAGTTGATGCGCTTGCATAAATACAGTGCTACATTTTCAAAAAAAACTATATGCACAAATTCCAGTCATAGATAGTAAGCAGACCAAGTAGTCAACCAACCAACAATTTATAAGTAAACATGCTCTAAGAAAATTACCTGTAACTTTCCGTCATTTCATACAATGGTGTAGTGGGATAAAGTGATTTTGCGTTGCTGTAAGGGGCTGCAACAGATGCGTCGCCTGTGGATCGATCTGTCAACGCTAAACAGTCCCTTTTCAGATGCCCAAACTCTCCACATCGGTAACACCTTAGTGTTTGGTCTCGAGCTAGTCCACTATCACTACAATTCCCACTACTTATGGCCCCGTCGCTCATGGTCTGGCTAACATTATCTCTAGTGGATCGACCTATCAATGGTTGACAATCCTTTTTCAAATGCCCAAACTCTCCACAACAGAGACACCTCTGTGTTTGGTCTCGAGTTAGTCCCCTATAATTACAGTTCCTACCGCTCATGTCCCCACCACTCGTGGCTTGGCTAGCATCTTCACTGGCCGATCCACCATTCAACAGTTCACAATCCTTTTTCAGATGCCCTATCTCTCCACAAAAGAAACGCCTTGGTGTCAGTTTATTATGAGTAGCTAGTACCCCTGTCCGGTGAGGACTGATGCTCGGTGTCTGGGCTCCAGATATACCAATAACCTGGGTGTTTCTAGCACTCATTATGTTGCTAGCAGAAACATCTGGAATGATTACTTCACTTGTCATGTGATGGCCAAGGCTCTGTGTTGGGGCTCTGGATATACCCATATCCTGACAGTTTCCATCACCCATGACCTCACTACAAGCAACCTGTGGAGTAGCCACTCCTTTTGTCACGTGATGGTTAGGTGACTGGGCACCAAGTAAACCAATATCCTGAGGATTTCCAGCACTCATGACCTTATTAGCAGAAACACTTGGACTGACTACTTCATTTGTGTTGTGGAGAACACTCAGTGATGGGGCTCCAGATATACTGCTATCCTGGTGGTTTCCACCAACCATGACCTCACTAGCAGCAACCTGTGGAGTGACTACTCCACTTGTCATGTGATGGACGCTACGTGTATGAGCTCCAGGTATACCAATATCTGGGGGGGGGTCCAGGACCCATGACCTCACTAGCAGAAACATCAGGAGTTACTACTTCACTCCTCTTATGAGTTACACCGCTCGATGTTGAAGCTACGGATATACCAATATCCTGGTGGTTTCCACCACCCATTCCCTCAGTAGCGCAAACCTGTGGATTGGCTACTTCATTCGTCATATAGCAGACACTCGGTGTCCGTGCTCCAGCTATATTAATATCCTGGCAGTTTCCACCAGCCACGACCTGACTAGCAGCAATATCTGGACAGGATACTCCACTTGTCATGTGAGCCACAACACTGGGTGTAAAGGTTCCAATATTACCACCCTTATTATGATGGTTACCTCTGTTAAAGGCTTTGCCACCTGTCAGATGACAATCCTTTAGCAGATGCCCTGAATCTCCACAATGGAAACACATTGGTGCCTTATTACACTTCCCAAAATGGTTCTTCTTACAGTTGGCACATTTGTTATTTCGCTTAGAGCAACCCTTACTATGTGTGTGCCCAGGTCCCGTCTTATTTGCTGCACAGCAAGTTTTCTTACTAGGTTGTTTGCTTGGACTATTCCCCTTCCTTTTCACACCCTTCTTTTGGTTCTTTTCACTCATCAACTCCTTCTCCTTACTTAGCCGCCACACCATACTTTTGGGTGCATGAGGATTAGGTGATAAATTATCACCACTAAAATGATTTCTTGAATTGTGAGCAGCAGGCACGTGTCCTTGTTGATGGTTACTTTGATAGACTATACCAAGAGACTGACTGCTCCCCTTCCTTTTCATGCCCTTCGTTTGGTTCTTTTCACTCATCAACTCCTTCGCCTTATTTAGCCGCCAGACTTTGGGTGCATGAGCAGGAGACCCATGTCCTTGTTGAAGGTTACTTTCATGGACTACACCAACAGACTGGCTGGGTTTGCCGGCCGACATTGCTGATGTGTCACGGTTGGTTACGAGGCCATTACTGATATTTGTGAACGGTTTCGGTTCAGTAGTATGACTAAGAGGGAGCCCCCCAGTTAAGAGGCTAGTCCAAAGCCATACAGTCTTTGCTGCAGCAACAAGTGCTGCAGATGCTTTTTTAGGTTGGGCTAAAAGAATGGTGTACCTACGCATTCGAAGCTGGTGGAGGGCATTAGAGAAATCTCGATCACCAGATATCAATAAATAAGTAGCAGGTGCTGGGTTGTCAACGGCCCAGAACAACATGTCGACCAGTATCTTCTTGTCACTAGCATCTTTAACGCCTAAAAACAACAAGGGGTTAATCCCACAAATGCCATAGAGATATTCCCTTACAGGTGAGGAAGACTGTATATTAGATTTGATAATGAACACCCAATAAACCACTTCATACATAACTTATTAATGCATAGATATCAGTTCATCAATACACGTAACTACTATTCACCCATACACGGGTACTGATTGCAGTCCCAAGCTCGAAAATAATCGTTTGATCTCAGATCGGGCATTATAACAAGAGAGAATTTGACTTTGCACCCCAAAACACGGGTGATATTTGACTTTGCACCCTATTTTCAAAATCATTAATGTATGCACCCCAATTCACTATAAAATCATTTGACTTTGCACCCCACTCCTTCACAATTTTTGGGCTAATGGGGTGCATACATTAATGATTTTAAAGATGGGATGCAAAGTCAAAGATCACCCAAAATATTGGGCGCAAACTCAAATTCTCAAATTTGTCTAAATCTGTCAAATATTAGTTAAAGCCTGAACTTTAACTCAAATCTGTCAAATTCTCAAACTCTTTGTCAAATATTGGGCGCAAACCCCAGGACCAGAACAATATGTCTAAATCTGTCTAGAACATCACTCTCGCTAGAAACGAGCAATACAGTGCGATATTCCGTGGCTCTTCCGTGGCTCTCATCTCTACACACAAAGAGTTAAATGCATGAATACCTGCGGGGACATGGTTGAGGGCGACTCCTGTGCTATTAAGGGCCTGCTGAACCAAAGGCGAAATATTGGTCGTATCCCCGTAGGCGGATATGGAGATGGGCCCGCAGTAGTTCAACTTCGCCAGCGCAGAGCTTATGTTCTGCGCGATTGCATGCGGATCGGAGTCCCTGGGCACTTGGCAGTTCTCTATGTCCCACCACACCGATATTTTTGCCCCAACAAAAGGCGCATCCGCCGCATCAGATGGAGGCGGAGGCGGCGGTTTCAGCGCCAATCCTCCCGCCATGTAACCATTGACGCCAGCATCGCCCATCTGGGACGCTGATCGCCGTGCTAATGTCAACTTTTGAGTTGACGCCTGAACTTTAATTATGCTAAACCGCTAGGGTTTGATCTAAACCTATCCGATCTGAAGTATGTTCTCGAAAGTCGCAGTTCAATGATTTTTTAGGGAAAAGAACGTACGGAGTATATATGACCGAAAATAGTGGCTGGAGAACCCATTCCGGCTTGAGTTTTTTCTGGGCTTCATTTTTTTTGTTAATAACTTAATAATGTTAATTAAATAAATAATTCTTAAAATGCTGTCACATTAAGAATATTTCTTGTTGGGGTATTGAGCTAAAGGCCCAATATCCGGATCAAAGGCCCAGAATATCCAGTCCAAACAACGAGCCCACAACCCCGTGGTAAGTAAGCTCAGTGAGATATTCACACCGAACGAGGTTCGGGCCAAAATAAAGGCTGACCCAGAAATAGATATGTCGAACGGGGTTCGGGTCATACATCATACTTGGTTCAACTTAATGACGTTTTCCATATGGTCCATTATCCCGTTCGGGCAACGGACAACGTGCAAGTGGCCAGAATGCATTAAATGCCAGATTACGACATTAACAAGTAGAAGCATGGGTACCCAAGTCGGTGGATTAACAACCAATCAGCATGGAGCGCCCCATACCCCCCATTAGTATAAATAGAGGGTTTAATATCATTGTAAAGGGTTATTATTTTCATACTCAAGTTCTAGAATAGCATTATCACTCTTGTTCTTGTATTAATCACTACTCCGACGTATCGAACGAGAGGTTTCCGTGTAATCAAGCAAGTCATTTAATACAAAGTGAGCTTTAGAGCAATCAATTACTCATCTTTTATATTTCTTTATACACTTGGTTCTGATCCATTTCTTGATATATCCAAAGTTCGTGTTGGGCTTTCGGATCTGCGGGACTATACCTCAACATTGGCGCCGTCTGTGGGAAACTGAACAAAAAGTTTCACACCAATCATTTATTCAAAGCAATTACTTTCAAAATGGTCAGAATCGGTTCTTACCACACCAACGATGTTTTGGGGCATCACGGGAGGAGCCGGACTCCGAGGGGCCAGACCCCTCAAGGGCAGTCCAGCCGAGGGAGTTACCCCCATTATGATGGGGATTTTTTCATCCCCGAAAAACTAAGGAGGAACCCTCGGGCCATGCGAGATATGGCCCAAGTCATGCAGCATATGGCAAACGAGGGGGAGGGGGGACAATCCAATTATACAGGGGAGACCCCCCATACAGAAACAACAACGGCATCAGCCCATTCTCGGGCCCATCGGGACTATCGGCGTGGGGATTACACAACAAGACACCATATTCCCAGTGACCACACCCCGATCGGGTCACGAGCCAGATGACCCACTCCGGTTGGGCGTCATTTCCAGCACAAAGAACGCGATGACACCAGAGCCACACGGAGGCACTGGGATCGGGAGTATGCAGATTTGAGAACTCCATCACCACCCCCTTAACGGCCCAGGAGGAAGAAATGGTCGAGATGAGGAGGCAGATGAACGAACTAAGGGATCAAATGAACAGAGCACCCGTACTGTCACGCCCCAAACCGCATCTAAGCGCGTGTACAACCGCCGTGTGATTAAGTGACGTCACTCGCAAGTCAACCTCACATAATCACACAAGGCGTTCATGAACATCGTTCACACCATACTCAGTAGTAAACATACATAACAACATTACATCATAGATTTAATGAATAACGGAAAATATTCAACGGTCAATCATAAGCCACATATGGCAAAACGTAGGCTCGCACGCCAAAACAATGTAATATTACAAAAGTATCCATGAGCATAGTTTATGATTTAAAATAATAAAGGAAACATGAACCATGTCTTCCTCTAGATTCTTTCCACCTGTGCAAAGGTGTAGACAACAGGCTCTAGCTTCAACCTGAAATGGTGGGGGCCCCCGAAGGGGTCAGTACAAGTACCGAGCGAGTAGCAAGCTAAATGTAGAGTAACTAACGTTTCAAGTATAAGACCCAAACAAAGGGTGATACATATACTTATACTTCCTTACCCCAAGTTACAAAATACATATCAGTACTTATATACACTTGGAAATACCCGACCCGTAGGTCATTGTTTAATTGGGAAAAATAATAGTAGTCAATGTGCTAGACTTAAAACCCCAACCCACCCATAGACCTATGAGTGTATAGGACTCCTCCTGTCCAAATCAAATAATCATAAGGACACCGCCCGGTCATGAATTACTAAATAGTAATCTATGAGTTTTGAGGATACACACACGATCCTTGGGTACTCCACTCTATATAACCGAGTTTTGAGGATACCGCCCGATCCTTAGGTACTCCACCCTATATAATCGAGTTATGAGGATACCGCCCGATCCTCGGATACTCCACCCTATATAACCGAGTTTTGAGGATGCCGCCCGATCCTTGGGTACTCCACCCGACCTATAATCTACCACATATCATACTATATAAGGCCTATATCATAATCAATAAACAAGACTAGACCAAGTCTTCAGGCCTAAACAAAATCATCCATGCAACTCATGCATTAAAATTAGCATATAGGTAAAGTAAGGCCAAACCGGCGCCGGTCAACTCTCGGTTGACCCGCCATTCCAAATCCAAAGTGTGTCAAACTTAGTCATAATATGTACTAAGTTATTAATAACTATTTATGCACATTTGATCTCTAAACATATCACATATGTTTTTATGAGCATTTTCACTTCACAAAACATGCATATTTCAATAGTTCACTTCATAAAAGCCCTAATCACTTTTATTGGCTAATCACATGTTTAATTCATTTAAACATTTTTATGAACACACATAACATATACTTAGGTAATCTCATGCTTAACCCGAAAGTTACAAGACATTAAGTCACCCACTCGCCTCAAATGAGCTTTAGGAAGATTCTACTCTTCTTAGTTGAACTCCGGCGAGACTCCGGCGAACTCCGACGAAACTCCGGCGAAAACTTCGGCGAAATCTAGAACCACTTTAGTCAAGCTCCTAACATGGTTTTATCATTACAAAACCCATATCAACACAAATAACCCCTAAAAGGTTATTTTCCGGTGAACCGGTCGTTTTGGCTTCTAAGTCCGTTCTTGGACTTAGAACCACCTTCCAACCCCTCATTCTACACTTATAAACATGTAGAACAATACTAGGGGTCCTCCATAGGATATAGAGTTCATATGGAAAACAAATGATGGAAGAAAAGTTATTAAAGAACTCCTCACCTTTATTTTCCAAGTTTTTCTCTACTTTTGCTACTTCCTTTTCTCCTTTGAGTTTCTTGTTGTTTGAGCTTGATTTGGCTATGGAGAAAGGTGGTTGTGAGGTTTCTTGCTCTTGATTGGGGGTGGTCTGGCCGAACTTATCAAGGGAAGGGTGGGGGTTTCCTAATTTTTGTCTCAAAGGTATGAGTGGTGTGGGGGGAGGCCCACCTTTTTTGTTTGATGGCTTTTATTTCCTTCACCTCACACCTCTCCATGTTCCCTCCTCATCTCAGCCGGCCAACTCTTTGATTTGAGTGGCCAAAATCGTGGGTTGGCCCCCACCCATGTGGGAGGTCAACCCTTTTTGTCCAGAAGTGTACAATTGGTCCCGAAAGTTGTATTTCTCGGACTGTTTTAATTATATTTTATTTTATCGGGCCAAATAAAATATATTGTGTGATTTCAATCACTATGGACCTTTAGAATAATTGTAGATTCCCCAACTTTAATTTAGAAGTCTCCGAAATTTAATTTGGACTGTTATCCGGTAAATTACCAATACCAGTAATTAGGCTTCGTTTGACCGATGGGTCAACCCTAAGCCCTTTCTATGGCCCAACTAAAATATATACCATCATTTAAATATTATCTAGACTAAGATGAATATGATATGTGGTCCCGGGATTACCGGATGGTCCCCGCTCCCGGTGTAGGCTCCACGTGCAGTTCACTATTCACGCGAAAGAAATAACCAAAAATTTTCAACCACGTAAATTCATAAATCAATATTCAAGATTTATTACATGATTTAATAAAAAGTAAATATATTTGGGGATGGTGTTACACGTACAACCTATTCCGGTTCAGGTCGAGATCACTTCCCCCTTTACCCAGGAAATAATGTACGCTGAAATCCAGGGGGTGCCAAACCACCGACCGGTCAGATATATGATGGGGTGGGAGATCCCCATGTACATTTGAGGAGTTATCAAGGAGGACTTATGCTACTAAGAGCAACTGAAGCAGTCATTTGTCAACTGTTCTTCAGCACACTCAGGGGGCCTGCTCAGGAATGGTTTGGGACCCTGCAGCCTGGGTCGATCGATAGCTTTGCCGAACTATCATCATTGTTCTTGGCCCAATTTGCCTCTAGTGCCAATCCAAAACGGCACTTCAGCTACCTGACCATCGTTTAGCAGGGACCAAGAGAGCCCTTAAATCAATTTCTAAAAAGATGGAGGGATGAAACCCTAAAGGTTGGCAGCATGACTGAGGACACTGCAATCACGTTGTTTACTGATGCTCTCCGAACGGGGGAGTTATATAAAGATTTAAAAAAGAATCCAGGTACGACATACGCCGAAGTTCTAGATCGGGCCCGGAAGCATGCTGCCCTGGAAGAAGAAATCATGATCAGGGATAAGGTGATTACACCTTCTGCCCCAATGAAGATGGTCAATCGGCAGGGTCCTATCCCAGCGGCCGCACCCCCTCCTAAGCAAGGACGATTCACCCCCTGGTCCTGTCCATGGTGACCATTTATCAGAACGAGAAAGATAACATTCCCCTTCCGACTGATACCAAAAATTACATGGGAACAGACGAGAATGCCTTTTGCAAGTATCACAACAGGAAGGGTCATTCTACCCATTCCTACCGTGCATTACAAATAGCAATTGAACAACTAATCCAGCGAGGCCACCTGGACAAGTATGTGAATAAAGACCCGAATGCAATAGGCATTCTAAAACCGGTCAGGAGGTCCAACAGTTGGAGACGAGATTCTCAACGAGATGCCCAGCCAGGAATGACGTGTACATTCCTCTTACGGATGAAGCAGAAGGTTCGGGGAACACAGGGAAAAAACCCCGAATGGAAGTAAATGTTATTTTGTCGGAGGGGGAACAGGGGATTCAAACGCCGAACGGAAAAGGTTCGAATGGAGCCTCTATGTGGGATCCATCTCCACCCCCCCAGAAGAAAGTTAAGACAGACCCAATTACGTTCGAGCCTGCAGATTTGCTTAACTCATCAAGTCCGCATAGGGACGAGTTGGTGATAAGCATGTGCATTGACAATGCCTTGATCCGCCGGGTATTGATTGACACGGGAAGCAGTGTGAACGTATTGTACCTACAATCGTTCGAGAAAATGGGCCTGCAGCGAAATCAGCTGACCCACCTGAGGACACCACTGGCGAGCTCCACCGGGAATTGCATCGAAGTAGAAGGGACCATCCAATTGATGGTTGAAATTGAAGATGAAACACACAAGGCATCGGTCCGAATGACGTTCGTGGTGGTAGATATCAAATGTGCCCACAACGCCATTTTGGGTCGACCGGGATTGGAAGATCTGGAGGTGATAGCCTCTGTCCGCAACTCATGCATCAAGTTCCCCACGGACACTGGGGTTGGGGTGGCCAGAACTGATTCAGCAACAGCCCGAACCTGCTATCGGGAGGCCCTGAAAAGTATGAACACCCGTGGAATGCGGGTAAACAGCATCAACATGGAAACACGTCGAACGGAGTTCGAGGCACATCCTGAGCCTGCCACCCTCCTCGAGCAAATCGACCTGGATCCCCCCCAACCGGAAGGTGACTATCAGGGTGGATCTGGAGGCTGATATCCGGGAAGGTATAATTACAGCTCTGAAAAAAATTCAGGTATTGTTCGCCCGAGGACCAGAAGACATGTCGGGCATTGACCCGGATATAATCTGCCACAAGCTGGCCGTTCGGCCTGATGCAAAGCCTGTTCAGCAAAAGAAAAGATACCAGGCGACCGAACAACGTGATTTTACAAAACAGCAAGTGGCCACCCTGCTAAGAATAAAACACATCCGTCCGGTGATCCATGTCGAATGGTTGTCCAATGTGGTGCTTGCGCCAAAACAGTCAACTTGGAGGATGTGTGTGGATTATTTTGATTTGAATAAAGCCTGTCCAATGGACCCATATCCGATGCCGAGGATCGATCTGTTTGTGGATGAGACGGCGGGATGTGAGTTGTTGAGCTTTATGGATGCATTCTGGGGGTATCATCAAATTTTCATGCACCCGGACGACGTAGAAAAAACTGCATTCGTAACTTCGGACGGCGTATTTTGCTATATTGTTATGTCGTTCGGGTTAAAGAACGCAATGGCTACTTTCCAAAGGATGATTGGAATGCTCTTCAAAGAAGTATTAGGAGTCACAATGGAGGGTTATGTTGATGACATCCTAATCAAGAGCCAGAAGAAGGAGAATCATGTCTTGGACATAGAAAAGGTGTTCGGGATAATGCAGAAAGCAAACATGAGGTTGAACCCCCAAAAATGTGCCTTTGCCGTTAAGGGGGGCAAATTTTTGGGATATGTGATGAGCGAAAGGGGTATTGAACCTAATCCTGAGAAGGTAAAGGCGATCATGGATATGGAAGCTCCCAGAAACCTCAAAGAGGTACATCGATTAACCGGTCAGTTGGCAGCCCTGAGTAGATTCTTATCCAAACTTGCCGATTGAGCAATTCCATTTTTTGAGATCATGAAAAAAGCAAACCCTTTTGAATGGACCGTCGAATGCCAAACAGCCTTAGAGGAATTCAAGACATATCTATCCTCTCCCCTGGTCTTGACAAAACCTGATCGAGGGGAACACTTATACATATACCTTGTTGTAGCCGATCTGGCTGTAAGCACAGTATTATTGAAAGAAAAGGATGGCATCCAGCGGCCAATTTATTTTGTAAGCAAAGACTTAAATGGCCCGGAAACCAGGTACACCCTGCTGGAGAAAACGGTATTGGTCCTGATAGCCGCCATCAAACGACTAGCACCTTATTTTCAGGCTCATCCGGTGACAGTGTATACAACTCAGCCACTCGCCACCATCTTGAGAAACCCAATGGCTAGTGCACGTATTACAAAGTGGAGTCTCCTGATCGGGCAATATGTGGTGGATTTCAGACCTCGACCTACTATCAAAGGGTAGGCCCTGGCAGATTTCATAGCAGAATGTACCGCTCGGCCTTCGGAGACCAATTCTGAAGAAGGTGTACTGGATAACTGTTGGGAAATGTATGTAGATGGTGCATAAAGTGCCAAGAGTTGTGGTGCCGCGGCCGTAATTATGATGTGAGTTTTCTCGCACTTTAAAAGATTGTAGAATAGCGGTGAAAGTATGAGTATCCTCTCCACATGGACGGACAAAAGGGAATCAAGGATTAATTAAATTCAGCGATTAAAAAGGAATAAAATAAAATAAATGCATCGTGCGAGATTGGTTGGTTGAATTAAAATTAAACTAATGCGAATGAACGATTAAAATAAAAGATTGGGTTCTCTCTAATTAACGACGAAGGGAGGTACAAGGACGCACGAGGGCTACAAGGAGGTACTTTGATAAACAAGTCAAAATTCGGACAATCGAAGTAGGAGACATGGTCCTAAGAAAACGAGAAAAGAGCAAGCCTCTTGAAGGCGAAAAAATGGCCCAAAATTGGGAAGGCCCTTATCAAGTCTCAAAAAATATGCCTCAGGAACGTTTGGCCTACAATGTACCGAAGGCCGACCGGCAGGAACATGGAATGTGGAGCATTTGAGAAAGTTTTATCAATAAAAACGGTTGTTGCCACCTCTACAAAAAAATATGTGTATAGAGAGGGAGACATAACTTCCAGGGAAGTCTCACCTCAGCCTTTAACACGCAGAATCATTCTGGATGACCGAATGAGGAACATGTTAACAGTTTGGAGGGAGCCATCATCTCAGCTAACAGTATTTGACCCTGTAATTATGAACGGACAAAGGGATCAAAATGGCTTGGAGGTGGTGCCAAAACTATAAGTATGGACGAGCCGAGCGACGTTCGGTAACACGGATTGTTCGTACGGGGGATTGGAAATATGGTTTTAAATCTCGCCTCAGTCATTAACTTGATTTGGAAGTGAGTCGCCATTTTAGCTAAAGTAAGAAATGACCCGATCCGGTGATCTTGCTTACAGTTTGAAAGTGGTCACCTCAGATCCCTAATATGGATGATACGAGTGAGAGGAAACTGTTCGGAATGCATCGGAATTTTGGGTTTGGAAGAGAAAAAGTCTCAACCTCAGCTTTTAACATATGAAATCATTCTGGATGACCGAATGATGAACGTGTTAATAGTTTGGAGGGAGCCATCATCTCAGCTAATAGACTTTGACCCTGCCCTAACGAACAGACAGA